AAAAATTTGAACAGAGGGGTTCGTTCTTGATGCCGGAGCTCTGTAGTGTTCTAACGTGTGTCGACACGGCGGAAGAAGGTGCTCGCACAGCTTTTTAGGTGACACATGAATTGATTACTGTCACAGTTCATCACCTGATCTGGGCTCGTGATACGTATGTCACCATGGTGCGTGATGTTTACCGAGGTGGATAATGGGTGCGGAAATGGCAAGGGTATGACAACCCTGAGCAAGAGACTTGCTCATTTGGTCGCGTTCGGCTTCCTGGATCGATGGTTAGAGACTCTGTATCGAAAACAGTGATGCTCGTGCTTTTTCGATGTTTTTGAACCCTAGTCTGTCGATATTCTCTATTTTCTCTTTGACACTGCTTTCATCATTCTAACCTCCTCCGACTGTCTTTCAAAACCACCGCACGCGAGTGCATCATTAGTGGTTGTTTAAACTGATCTGAACCTTGTCGGTCGTTGTCACTTTCCTGTGCACAAAATATAGATATATATATATATATATATATATTAATTCCACAGTAGAGTGACGCATGAAACCCACAAGACCAAATGCCTTGTATCAAAATAGGTTTATCAAAGTACGGTCCTGCAACACGAGTTTGGAGATAAATGATAAAGTGTACAGTAAACAAACCTCAAACTGTGGGACAAACCGGTCGAAACAGCGCACCTGAAAACCGTGAAATCAAGTCAATACAACGGAAACCAGCGAGACGATCAAAACGTCCCGTGACAAGCAATAACAACAATGAGTCGGGCAAGGTTCGTGCACATGCATATGAAGGACCAGTGACCAATCGAGGCCGATCGAATGTCGCGATTTCAAGGTCAAGAACCACAGTGCGATTGTCGTTCACGTGCGTGCGTCCGTGGGATTGCAGGTCTACTGGTGTGTAGAACTTGTCAGAACGTTGACATGTTACAGAATCAATACAGTCAGACATGCGGACAAGTCATGTGTGTGAGGGGGGGTCGAATGTTAGTGGGGAAACAAATAGAAACAGATGCGAGTGAGAGATTCGAGTACGTTAGTTCGTAATGGGTCACACAATGTTTTGGGTGCAGGGCTGAATGGAATCAACAATATATACATATATATACTGTTTTGTTGTTTATTTCTGGTTAAAGCACCGAAGTCCTAAAAGCTTGTTTTCTATTTTTCGTTCTATCAGAATGAGGACTTCAGTCTTGCCTTGTGCGCTCGTGTGTTGAACACACACGCACACCAACATCTGTCACATTTCTGTTTTGTTTCCAACCCTGGCTATGCATTCATTTGATAGACTTACGTTGAGAAGATGCAAGTGTTTTTCCGGCGACAAATTGCCGAAATTTTGACCAATGGACGTCAGGCGATCAGTGGATTGATCAAACCTTCCAAAAGTAAGTGCTCTTACAAACATCTTTCTTCATGTCCTCTGGATCCTGCTCTGTACGAATGCCACTTATATGCACTATGATCCTGGTGCGTTTGATTTACGTTTCTGTTCTTTATCTGGTTAACAGGTTCCAGCCACATGTCGCGCGTTCTGGAGTCTGCCGCGGAAACGGCTAGTGTGATTTCGGTCCACAATCCCGAGGGTGCAGTGCTCGTTCAAGTCGGTTCGGTTAGTTGTGTTTCTTACACGCGTCTTACCTCATACATGGGCATTTTCCTATAATCAGTTACCCGAATGCTTCAATCGGTGTAATTGGTTTGTGTACATAATAAATCGTGTGTTGTGTTATCAATAACTGAACAAGGAATATAAGCTGCTAAGTAGAGCCGTCAACTGTTCTCGTCTTCGAGACCAGAGTGATAACCATTTGTTTGTCAGGTCTGTCGAGAGTATCAAATGAAACTCCGTAACCGATAGCTTGTTGAATCGCGTAAAATGTGATCCAGTTCAATTTCCTTTATCCATACACTGTTTTGTTTCGCTTTGTGTTTCCCTATTTCGCAGTTTATTGGAGACCTGTTGGAGAGAATTCGTTCTATAGTAATTGTGGAAGAGAATTTTGTCAAACAGTTCTTCTCCGTGCCTCTCCGACCGGCTGCGCAAGTAAGTTTACATCATCAGCGGCATCATTGTACAGCGAAAAAAGTGAAACGAACTTTGCTGTTCGCTGCTAAACTCAAAACGTGCACATGTATGAATATGTGGGGTAGACCTGTTTTTAGGGGGAGAGAGATACTAAACCTATACGGTTAACACACCGTGTACACAGTGAAGCATTTCTGCCTCCTAAAACAACTGCAGGGAAATCATTTTCATCCATTTCATGTCCTTTAGCGTCTTCGATCAACCACTAAGGGAGTCTTTCGGTTGTCAACCCGGGAGACCGAAAATGCCTGCTCTATCTAATCCCTCTGTATTTCTTCTTGCGTCATGGGTTTACCTCGACAGACAGCAACGCCGAATAGGGCGCGATGCGGTAAGCATGCGCTCTACGTGTTCTAACGAGCGAGGCCTGCTAATCTGAATGCAAAGTCAAAATCAAAGTTTTATTATGGGCGATTTAACAAAGCTAAAGCTTATCATGCCCCATAGGATTTTAACAGAATATTTTGAATAACCTCATAAAAAGATAATAATAATATGCATGATCACTCACAGTTGTCGAAATTTTAAGTGTTCCAATACTTTATCAGGTTGAGATGTAAATAGTTCAACTGCAGGAGCACACACTACGTGGGATAAAACAGAATTCCATATGCCGCACACTCTGACTGCAAACGAGTGATGCCGGCAATCAAGGTGGTTGTTCTGGGTCTTCACTTTTAGTGGATGTCCCCTGAGGTGATCATTTTAAGATAAAGTGAGCATAGAACGGCAAGGGTGGTTGGGTTGATGCGGTATATGATATGCCAAGATTCGGTCCCCTCGAAGTCGGCGGTATTGAGATGAGTAGAGTCCCAATATTGACCGTCTTTCGGAGTATGTTTTGTTATACAGACCTTTTATCAATTTTGTTGCCAGCCTTTGCGGACTTTCTAGAGCCTTGTCAAGATTCAGCCATGGATTCTACACTTGGACGGCGTATTCCGTATGTGGCCGAACGAACGCTGATAGCAAGCGTGGGAACAATGCTCTTTCGAACTGCCTGAAAACACGTCTCAGTAGTCCAACTTGCTTTAGAGCCATGGGTGATACTCTGGCACAGTGCGTGGAACATCCTGCAATATGATGAAGAATTTACCACCAACTCATCCGCGAATACACGACGGGTTTCCTCAGAGTCAGTCGCCCGCTCGCTTTATCGTACTTGTTCCAAAACAAGTAAACATAAATTATTAAAAACTCCTTGTCAGTGGACGTTTTTTACTCGCAGATTCAAAATAGTGTGATGAATATTGGCTTCGTCTTACTTCGAATGTTTCTTTTTGGTTTTGCTCGTGTGGTTTCTCACACTATGGTTCGCATCCATTGTGGTCATTACGCATTTATGGGATGAACACCGTGTACGCTAACCTAGTGTCCCGCTACGGTCTATGTTATGTGCTCACTAGAAAGTTACGATAGATGTGGACCGGTCTCTTAGTGAGATTCTTTGAGTTTTCGACCGAACGGTATCACAGCCTATTGCATCATACCAAAATAATTCTCTGGTCCTCGATTGCAGGTTGGAATCCGTCCCAATCGAGAATTGGAGTCGTTGCCCGGTTGTATGCACACTCTGTTCTCATCGATCGAGAATGACGCTTTGGCTTTCATCAGCGACTGTGAGCAAATTCAACCGTTGCTGGTCATGCCTCTGTTGGTCGCGTTCTCTCGTGCATTGGATATGGAGTTACAACAATCGGGAATGGAATCGGCCGAGAAACTATCCCGCGAACAGGCACCGTTCATGGTGTTTCTGTTAAGTCATTTGACCATGGTCGCAAAACGTGCTTTCAATAGATACGTGGTATGTGTCTCTTGGACTTGGAGCTGTTCGTTATGCTAGACTTTTTCGAGTAAAATTAGTCACATTTAATCGTTGTTTGACTCAACCTTTTCCTGTCCATCAAACACTGTGGTGAAACACAAAAAACCGTGCCTAACTCTACCCTTTCGAGTTTTATTGTTTCTGCGTGAGCAACAGGTTTGTCCGTGAGTTAGTATAATATACATGCATACAAAACGGTAACATCCCCGTCGAGTTTGATCATTTCCTTAGTTGTGCAATATCATATTTTTACACTCCGCACCTCTCTCAGCCTAGGTTGTGTAGAAAAAGCAAATCAATCAATCTTTAAAACAAAGATTGAGGTTCATGATTTGCTAATGGATGGAATACTACCAGGTTCCCCCAGACAAAGCAGATAGGTTTTCTTGGGGAGTTCACAGCTGGAGCCTGACTAGCTAAAGTGTGATCCGCAAGTAAGTGTGAAAACCGCAATCTGTCTAGGGCTGGCGTCCATTTCATCAAACCAAATGGATGGGCTCAATTGAACGGGTGACCACTGCCACAACCAGGGAAGTGTTTCGCTTACTTCTTCTCGGTGAGTTTGGAATCAAGGTTTTTGGCCCACTCCCCTAGGTTTATCGACCCAGAGAAAGGACACCTTCACCACGGAAGGGCAATGTGTAAGGCTTCCTGGGGCTTTTTGAGATGGTTAACCTGCGACCGTTGTGAGGCTTCTAGATATACAATATTGTGATTTTTCATGTCTTTACCAATACGATTCTCTTCAACATATCCAAACCGGCCATTCCTTCAAATTCGGTCAGATTTCTAGCATCTTGCCCACTTACTGATTCCTTATGAATGCTATCCACATTTAAACTGATTGCGCTCTTCAAGGGAGATTTGGTCGATTCATTCAGTTAATGCTCATCATTGTGTTGCGAGAATGAAACTTTTGACCGGAATGCCCACTCCTTAGGGATAAATTTAAATCTGAAATGAGGTATCTTCCCGATTTGAACATCGGCCAACCGTCATCTTAAAGTCCCCCGATCTTCTCTATCGGTTCGTCATGATTATAAAACAAGAAACAAGCTTTTTCCTCACTCGATTTTATTGTCCCCGAGCATGACGGGTTTACTATACTCACGGAACCGTTATACCTCTTGAAAGTAGAAAATTCGGGGGATCAATGGCTTGTGGTTTGTGTATATACAAAACCGTGAAATTTAACTAGATCCTTTCCAAAACAGATCAGTAATAACTCAACGATTTTTACAGCACAACTAAACCGCATTATGATATAATGGCCTAATTCTGCCTTTACCGCTCTCCCGTGTACTTTCTTTATCCGTTGATCTTCTGTTATTTTTCGGTTTTTCTGAAATTCAGAACTGTCATCGATTTGAGCACCTCATGTCTGTTTTTTTTCTATACGCTCGTCGCTACAACCAGTTCTCATGTTCGGATTGATCGTTTAGGAACGTCTAATCAACGTATTCGCGGAGGGTCGCCCAAGTAAACGCAGTCGATGCGGTATTCTTCGCATTGTGCACACCTATGTGGAATTTGCTGAATGCTCCCTTGTCGTGTTTTCGCAAAGTCAACGATTGGCTGATTTGGAACGGGCACATGGGGAACTGGTACGTTCCTTGATGACTCATCTTGAACGCGTGGCATCTCAGAGCGTGAAGACACCGCGTGAAGTTGTTCAATTGGGTACGGCGTTGCTCGCTAGCACTCATACTTGAATAAATGTTTTTATTTGTTCTCAACATATCATGCATCCTTTCTCGCTATTGCTTGATTCCTTTTTCTATCAAACGCTTTTTGACGAACGCCAAAAGTTATGAGAACTCATTGCTTCTTTATAATGACTGGCAACTTAAACTTTTGGCATCTGCACGAGGCTCCAATAG